TTCCAGATGAAGAGATTCTGATTTGGTCAGTTTATAGAGAAGATCAAGCTGCCTCTGCGAAAAGTTTTAGTAACTTACGATCAAGCGCTCACCAACTTATAATTTTTATACGAGATAAGTACCTCAATCAGGCTTATTCTAGCTGTATAAAAAAAACTGAAATACGTATAGCTTGATGAGAACTTATTCGTAAGTTACTAAAACTTTTCCTAGACGTAGCTCGATCTTCTCTATAAACTGACCAAATCAGAATCTCTTCATCTGGAAGTGTAAAACAGGTCTCCAGAGACATGCTTTCTATAGTACCAAGAAGTCACTTAGACAAAAATGAATAACAGATTCGTGTTCAAGATCATTATGACCACTAAAAATCTATGTTTCATGAAAATTGGGGAGAATCACGTGGGAAGATTCCCTCGTAAATCATAATAGTGCAGAACAGTGCGCTATGAAGTAAAATGTTGTCCGTCTATTTTATACAATTCCGAATTTTTTCTATGAGAAAACAATATCTATATGCATCCTCCTTAATTCGCTCTGATGAATTCTTTCTCCTCTAGTATGATAAGAGAATAAAAACAAAACATAAGATCACAAATAAGCTGTTATCTTACAACTGGAATAAAAACAATCCATCCAGAACAACATATACGTTCAAGAAAAAATAATTACTGAATAGTGACAAACAAAACATGATATAAAACGCTATTTAATGCGTCGAAGAAATCAATCGATATTATTGATCACTGATTTCTGCAAAATAAATGAGAAACAAAAAATATTCTTGTCTTTTGGTCTCCTGTCGATAATGTTCCCCATCAAATTGTAGTATTCTCAATCGATATATATATACCACCATCCGATCCATTCATTGTGTTGATCAAACTATCATCTGAATCACAACTGTAACTGGAAAGCGCAAACCTAGCGAGTCTGCAGTCTGGTTATTTGTGCCAATCATTCGACATTTGTATGAAGTTTTTTTTTCTACACTTAACAAGCAAGCAAATTGTAAAAAGCTCAGAATTACCAACTTTATGAGTTTGTTTTTAGAAACATCTACAGATATAAGCACGTTAAAATAGAAGGTGTGACGGACTTCTAGCAGCACAACAACAACAATAACAACAACAACAACAACAATAAAGGATCCGATAAAATATTCATATATAACCCAAAAGTTTAAGCTTTAAGCAAACGCTCGAGTTAAATTAAAAAAAGACATCATCGGTTGACTATGCTAAAACAAAAAACAAAATTGAAAATACTGAAGATTTGAAATTTGCAAAAAATAAAATACAGTATATACATACACATATCGTAAAGCACGCATAATTAACTGTGTACTATTGAGATAAATGTAGAGAATTTATCCTTGCTTTTTTTGAATTAACTGTTCATAGGATGGTGGTTGACGATAATCCTAAAATGAAAATGGATAGACTTTCATGTACACACAGAAATTACTTAAACTACACAAGTGGAGTTTCTAGCTACACAACATATACATTAGAAATAGCGAACTTTTTCAGTTTACTGTAAAAATTAATTTTTTTGAGTCTCGATTCAATGATAGTTTTACTTCGGACTTCAATGGATTTATTTGCACTTGTAGTTTTAAAGGACAAAGCTGAGACTGACTTTTCAATGGTACTCACTTGTACTTGAGGAACATAGATCTGATTTGGATTATAATTGTTTTGATATGTCGTTTGGACGCCTTGGGTTTGGTTCAAGTTAGAATATACGGCTGACGTACCGTTTTGATTTGGCATAGATGATTGTGTATTAGAATAGCAACTTTGTAAGACTGAATATGATGGAGGATAGCAGATGTCTGGCTGTGATGAAGAATTGGATGACGGTACTGACGGTTGATGATATTGTGGAATAAATTTCGGGGATTGAAACTGAAAAGGACCAGAATACGGAGTCTGAACTGGCGTGGTAAATATGTTCGTTTCTAAAAAACAAAACAATCACTAAAATTGTTGAAAAACAGAAATAAACGCAGCTACCAGCAAAATTATTATTAGCTACTGCTCGTTCATAACTTGGAGGTGGAGGTTCGTAGAAATCTGTGGGTGGCATTTGATAAGGTGGAGACCAGGTACGAACTGGAAAAGGAAGACATGCATGATTGGAATGTTTCTAATTTTTCAATCTAATTGTTTTATCTTACAGTTTTGTTGAACTAAACACTTAGCAATGTCAACTGCGCCTCCTGATGGAAAATTCATTTCGAACTTTACTACACCACTAAAACCACCTAGAATACACAACAACGAATGATGGGCTAAGGATACAATTTGTTGTTAAAATGTAAAGAAGATAAAGTAATAGCGAAGATAAAACCCTTTAATTTTTTCTGTAGTTCAAGCTCTTCAGATCCAGCACTTTTTATTAAAGTGTTCTGAACGATTGTGTACAGCATATAACTGAATGCGTTTCAGGATCCCTGCCTCTGATTATGCAGTTTAGAACCTAAAACTAGTGGCGGTACCACGGGTGGTTTCAGCCCACCCTGAAAAATTTTTTTTTCTTTGCTGTAGCTTTTCTTGTCTGTACGAAAGTTTAAGAGCGGCGTAGGTAGGGAGAGAAATTAACTTGGTTGGGAAAAATAAACACTACCCTTTTTCCTTTCCGAGTACAGTCGGGCTGAGCCCACCCTGGCTACAATTCCTGGTACCGACGCTACCTAAAACTGCACTGCTTTCAACAGCCATTCTTCTACAGGCATGCAGTTTTCTAGAAAAGCTCGTGAAAAGCACCACACATTTTTCAAAGTTTCATAAATATCAATAACACTATCGTGTTTGGCAAACCGAACTAAGAGAAACATATTGTGAAGCTATTTCACTGAATTCCGAAATAATTTATAATGTGATCAATTATTACATTTGTTATAAACTTTTATTTGAGAATTATCACATTTAATCCGTAAATATAAGGATAATATACTCGTTCAATGAAACGAATCAAACGTCATCAGATGCATTTTTTTCTGGAAGTAGGAATATTCATTTCGATGACGATAAATATGAATAATTAAAAATTAAGGAGAAGATCAATATACATTCAAAGTATTAGGTTAGTTGTGTCTGTTTCATGTATTCACGCATATTACATTGCATGTTAGTTCTCAAAAACCATGGAAGGATTTCTACAAAACAAGAATATTTGATTTGGTTTTAATGCGAACGAGAGAAAACTTATCATGCAGCAACTCCTTGAACAATATTAAACAATTTAGTTTGACTATCAAAATTATCAGATATTTTAGATAAACCCATCAATGCGTTAGGTTTTTTTATACCAAAAACTGCGAAGAACAAAATAAACATCATTTTACCATTGGGATGGGCATTTACACTTCCAGCTATATTATTTGCTCCAAGAATGGGTTGATTAAGCTGCAAATCTCTAGAAAAAAAAGAACAAATTTTACATGTGACAGAAAAACAAAATCGTTTTATTCTCGTACTTCATGTACATAAACGCAACAGAAAAACTTGATAACGCGTCGTTTGGATTATCAGAAAGAAAAATCAACTAAAAGAAGAAAAAGAAACAGCAGCATTACACCCGTGATTAATAACAATTGTAGAAGACCATACTCGATGAGTTGTAACAAATAATGTTCCTTTATGCTCTTTGGCACTCATAATTGGAGGTCCGCCTTTAAATTTAAGTTTAATATCTTTTGAACAGTACACAATCCTAAATTAAAACAAAACAGAGCATCAGTATCAATTCTTTTTCTCCCCAAAAATATCATTAACAGAAATACTTACATTTCACCTTGAAATAAAACAACGCCACCTTGATAATGTGATTGATTAATCGACATTTTAGCCAAACATTTGATTCAAAGTGATCTTCAAAATCACACAAGCTAATGCTAATCCTCCTAATTATAAAGTATACATTTTGACAAAGCGAAAAACCAAATAAAAAATACTATGTAGTTGTACTGTATAGTTTTTTAAAATTCTTATTAGAATCAGTGTTAAATAAAGGACATATATTGGATCTATGAGGATAGTAAGCAGTTTGCGCATATAAATCATACGCTGCAAGCTCGTTAGTTAAGAATGTGAGACATAGAGCACTCACTTGTCGTGAATAATAATACTATATAGTAGAGGAATTCCTGTACAAATTGAGTACTTAAGAAATAATAACAAGAACGTAATAACAAAAATAAACGCTGATGAATACGTGCTAATGTTTCAAACACTTTTTAAATAATAAAAATTTTCAGACAGCAGCCGTGAAGTAGAAGGAACAGCAAGCTTCACTAACCTTTTCATTATAAGACAATCTTTTTAAAAACTGAACTCTTTTTTATTAACAAATTACATTTCCATTTTTTATCTTCTGTTCCGTGAATTACCAAACATTTGACATTGGCTGATGAAAAGTATCCCTCGCGAGCAATATGCTTTTGCAGAAATGACATCTTTCGGGAAGAGAGATGGCTGTACCGTCCGTCAACAGCAAAACTACTGATACAATTCTCACAATAACAATTCGATGCGGCATCACAAAGAAATGATTACCATCGGCGAGGCGCACCGGTGCTCATGCCATTGCTGTAATCATACGGCATTGCCTCGGCACTTCTCTTATGAGAAATAAAAGATGTGGGCTGAAAAGATATTCGAAATCTATAGTAATATTACAAGTACTTGAACTTGAAAGTTTATTTTATTCCCAAGAAAACATCTAGTAACAAAGGAAAGCACAAAAATACCAAAGGCTTGTAAATACAGTGCCACCGCGCAGAAAAGAGAAGAACCACGAGAAGAGAGTATAGACGATACTATGGTGTATATATACACGAACAATAACAAAACAAAATAGTGATTGAATAAGAAACTTGGCATCGCTGCGCTGCACACTGGTGCTAGAAGAATCTAAAAATCTTGCACTCGTGCGCATAGAAGAAAATTTATTCGGCATGAGTGCAGTGCGCACTCGTGCACAACCGGTGTCGACAAAAATTTTTTTGTAAGAAAAAAGATTGAGACTTGGCGATCAACCCTGACTGAGATATTGAGAAAATACTGAACGGGACATTCATTCTGGGCAACCCGTTATGTATGTGGTCTATGTGGACAAAAATGTTCTTGATGAAAATGATTGAAGGAATTACATTCATTTGTTTCAAATAAACCCTTTTCTTGTTCGTCACTATAATCTGAACAGTCACGAAAAATGATTTGGTATATAAAGATCGTTCCGACATCGATATACAACGTTCAGGTTACACTCGTTCGCTTCAAGCTCGTAACAGTACCTTTCGTCTTCATCATTCATACAATCGAGTTTCCTACAGTTACAACAAAAACTGCTTTTTGAATCCGATACTATTCAACTGGTTTTCTGCAAATCATCGCATATTTTGCTGCATCTAGGAGACATTGAAGTGGAATAGTGTGCGTACAATTGTTGATATGCATATAACATGGTTCGTTGCCAGATATTAGAATAATATTGTCTGTTTTAATGTATTGTTCCAGTTCATACCTCGATGAAACAGTATCAGTAATATAAACAGTATCTTTTGCTTGTCAAGCGTGTATTGGCAATACTCTACAAATCATGACTCTGTACAATTCGGGTAGTAATCAGCTATCAACATATTCGTTTCTAAGTACAGATCATGTAGTTTAATGACACCAAGGGACGTCCATCAAGTGCACAAATCGTTGATTGCTACATTTTTTTCCACAACGCACCAGATTGTATCAGATTCTCGTTCAAAGTAACATTCAGTTTTCCATGCGATGATAATCTGATACAGTATTCAACTAGTTCACATGTTATCTGTTGATCTCGATTTCAATATGAATACACATAAAATCCTGTTAAAATTTGCGGATGCTTTTGATTTGATGCGTAGATTAAATTTTGATGAGCTCTGCATATTCAACATTATCATCTAACTTTGTGTTAGTTCTCTTCGAATTAATTGCATCAATGTTAGCTGCTACTCCAAAAATCTCATCATGCTATGGACCAACAAATATTTGCATGAAATTATGCGCAAGTATAATAGCTGAACAAAATTCGTCTAAGGCATAATTATCTATTACCTTGATAATGAATTTTACTATTCATCTAAGCTGTGTATTAATGATGATGTAACAGAGGAAGAAATTACGCTATTATTATTGTGTTTCGTATGAATATCAAATCGATATGGTGCAATAAATAGAAATAATAAGACTATTGAAATGCCTATAATTAGTTAAACACGTCACTCGTCTAGACTAATATCTTGTCATAACTATGAACAGAAATATTCTACAAACTATTGAAAAGACGAATTATAAGTGACAAAAATGCTACTAAATACCGTTTATTAAATTTAAAAATAAAATTATCTCAAAGCCTAAACATTTATCTCAAAAATAAACTTTTAATAAAAAAGAAAACTAAATCAAAAAATAATTAAGTTTTCTTATTTAAATAATTGTATCTAGTCAAATCTAATATCTTCCATATTTTTTGAATGTATAATGAAAATAAAAAAACTGATTTACATGTATAAATTCACCAAAAATGAGAAAAGCGTAACTGTTAATCAGAAGGCACAACCCATTGATATTCGTGATTATTAATAGAAATATCCTATCAACGATTAAGGAGTATCAGGTTGTTTAGGACCTAACTGGTTTCTTTGATTCTCAGATATAAAGCATATTGAGAGCTGCTTTTGTCTCGGAGAAAACCTTTTATCGGCTGAAAAACGATACTTTAAACTAAAATAAATGAACTCATTTAAATGATGTCTCTGATATTTTGTATTTTCCTAGTATTAACAATGATACTATACAATTTTATTACGATGTATCAGTCATCTCTGATATTGTTGCTTCTCGCTGTATCGATTGACAGTTGATATTTGTTGTGTCACGATGTAAATCTTCTAATAGTGAAATAACTCGCGATGTTTGTTTTTCTAGTGTAGCCAATTTTGTTTCTAATCGTTGTACTTTTGCATTTAATGTCAATTGTTCACGTTCTTTATCCGTCAAAGCAAGTGGATATGATTTTGGTAAACCCAATGTTTGATCAAGACGTCGTTGAATTTCAGCTAGAGTATACATCACTTTCAAATTACCCTGCGCATTTTCATCCATAATATCTTTGAAATCATACGGCTTATGAGCTTGTTGAAATTTTCGTTTAGCAGCATGAAATTTAATTATACGTAAAATGCGAATAGCTGTTCGTTGTGATGGTTCTAAATCATCCTGGTTTTCAACTTTTCTCCATGAACCGAGTTTTTTAATATTATTATTAATATTTGATGAAGCACCCATTGTTCTCGATAAATTGATAACCATATTTGATTCAATATGACGATTTCGATTAAAGCGTTTTGTTTCTACACTATAAATACACCTACAAAAAACAACAGAAATAAAATATATTCTAGAAAATAATTTACAACAAATCTTACCATGTTGCTGTTAAAATTGGATGTCGAGAGGCAACCATGCGCCACCAATTTTGTATAAGACCAGCAGCAGCTGGTACAAGTCGATTAAATTGTTTTTCACGCTTTTTTTGTTCAACTTTCAACGCAAAACCGGATCCAATTATACCTGATGGTAAAGTCCAGAATGCTACACCGCATATACATAAACAAGATGTTATCATTTTTCCAATATGTGTTCGGGGACATTTATCACCATATCCGATGGTTGCCTACAAACATTTAGAGAATAAATTAGTTATATAATTTGAACAAGAATGAAAGTTCTAACGAAATACAATATGTCATGTACTAATTTCAGACATATGGAATATTTTATATAGATCAGATCTCTTCTTTTTGGTATAGATATTCCTTTTGATATTATTATTTATTTTATTCTATGAAATATTTCTATATATCACGAAAGTTTCTTTTCAGCATCGAGTTTCAACTATTTTCATTACTGTAACGAAATAAAGGATCATTATCGAGTATATCAGCGATAAGAGTTTCTTACCATGGTAATAATAGCCCACCAAAGAGTATCCGCAAAACTATGAAACACATCATCAGCGGCATCTTTCGTTTCATCTTTCTCCACTAGCCATATTAAATATGCGACCACAATTAGAAATATGAAACAGAAATATAATGTGGCTACTAGTTCATAACGATGATCATAGACAACCGATCCTAATAATCTCCATGATGTCAAACGTCTATCAACATGTAAAAATCTCAATATTTGTAATATTCTCACATAACGTAATAATTGTGAACTAAATTCTGCTTTAAACATTCCTATACACAACAATATAGCATAACCAATAATAACAAATAAATCTACCATACACATTGCTTTTCTCATAAATAGTAGACGTCCTTTTCTACCACGATATTTCGAACGACAACCAGCTGACCATATTCGAATAATATATTCGGATAAAAATAAGTTGAACAAAACAAGTTCAATCCAAAATAAAATTTCATTACTTTCTTGAACATGCACAGTTAATATTGAACTATAGACTAGACAAGCAATAACAATAACAAACACAGAAAAATGATAGAGAAAACATATAATACCACATGGACGTTCGAGAAAATTATATATTTGAGCTTGAAATGTATTATGAAAGCGTCGAGTATGAGTATCGGATTGAAGATGCTGATCATTTAATGGTATTATTTCATCATCGATCGATGGAATATGAGTATGAGAGCGATTAAAACGATTATAAATAGTTTCTGAATTGTTACTGATATCATTGGGATTACCAACTAGTGAAGGTGATGATAATTGTGATGTAAATATATGAGTCATATTTATAATTATTTAATGTACAAATCTTAGTTGTTTAATTGCTGGCTGTCTCAATAGTCGAAAAAGCATTATCCTCCCTCTAAAGAAAATAAATATTACATACCAGAAACAAAAATCTAGATTGGTCCAACCTTTAAATCATTTCTGATATCAGTCGAGAAGTTACTGAAATATTCTACCCATAATCCATTTTTTTTTTAATAGAGTCATTTAATGAAGTGATGTGCTCTTTATAAAAAAAATCCAGATGTTCTTTCAACGCATACCTGATAAAGTTCGCACAGTTGAATAAGAAAATAAACGCCACCTTTAGTCCCCAGGGAAGAAGTGTGTGTGTGTGTGTGTGTGTGATACCTTTTTTTGTCTATAGCCGATAATTAATTATTTATTTATTTATTTGTTTCAATGTTTCGTATTTGTATAAACCTAGTGATAGATGATGAATTTAATTTACTTTGAAACGTGAGAAAAAGCAAATTACTTTCGTTTTTTTTCAGTATCGTCTTATTCTCTCGTCTTTTTGTTCGTTTTCATAGATTAAATATATCATAAGTTTTGGAGTTAAAATTATATGGCATTATGAGAGAGACGCTCTCTCTATATGTGCCCACATTCAATTTTTAGTCTATCCTTTTTTACATAAAGAGAAAGCAAAAAAATCCGAAAAAACCACGACACAAAAACGAAACGAAAGAAAAAATTCAAATCATTTTATTTGAATCATCTTCATACAAATAAATCCATTGATTTCCTTTTATAAAAAATTTTAAATTTAAAAAATAAAACTGAATAAATCCCACGTAGTTTATCAAGATTTAAAAAATGGTTAATAATTTGATAAATTCGCGCTTTTACTACTAATTACAGCGATTTTAGCAGCATCTATCGTGCTTATTCATGATTGCTTGAGTTATCATCAGGCAATAGAAAAATAAAAATAAATGTTTATTATTATTGCGAGCATTTAAATTGCTTTGCTGTGAGGAGGGTGATCTCCGCGAGCGAGTTTCATTGGTTTATCTTACATAGATAAATCGATAATTTTTCAAAACAGAGAAGAATTTTATCAAATTTTCGTTTCTAACATATACAGGCTCAATTATTTATCCGCTTGTATATCATAGGCTTTCTAATTTCCTCTTTCCTCATTAAAAAATGTTTACTTTTTGATCGCTTTTCCTCTTATTTTTTGTACAAATTGTTGAAACTAATTAACTTTGGAATAGAATTAATTTAAATATTAACCAAGATAAGGAATTTTTTCTTCTCAAAAGAGATTCAAATCCATCATAATTGGTTTTGTAAGATCAAACAACACCATAGGTGATATCCATAGTGAGTGTAAGTTTTCGGTAATGTATATTAATTACGAAGTATCTCTTTTGAGGCGTAACCAATTTATTCATGTAAAGTGAGAGAGATCAACAAAGGTCCCCGATCTGTAACACAATGACCCCGCCAGACAATAAATAGATAAAGAAGCAGGATAAAAACAAGATACTTACTGAGAAAAAAGAAAAAAACGAACTATAAAATAAATAAATGAAAAAGGTTGAAATACTAGTATAAAGTTGACTTTTAACATTAAAGAAAAAGGAATTTAGAAAGAGCATTTTTGAAAGACAACAACAGATGATCGCTTTAGGAGGATTTTATTTTAATCAGCGATTGTGAACCAAAAGAAAGAAGAAATGTATTGCTTAAGAAATCGTTAATACACGAAAGAATACGAAACACTGAGTACGACTTTGAGTACCCATGCTTGGGTATTGTTGAGTACTCATACCACTTTCGGCAAAATACTCATGAGTATTGTTCATCGATATTTTCATATAGAGGAGTGATCTTAGGTAGCCAGAGTAGGACCACAAGTCTAGTCATAGACAAGTCTACCTCTGACTATATAAAAAGAGACCAGTGAGAAAATAATAATATAAATATTCTCTGTTTCTTCACTAAATTCTACATTCTTTATACAGTTTCAGTTTAGCAAAATAAATCGGTGAATAAATATTTTCTGAGTACTCACATGAGTAACTGAGTACTCACTGAGTAACAATACTCAGAAATTGTTAGTAGTACCAATATGAGTACTCATGGACGAATTATGAGTAAAGTCGTACTCATCGTATGAGTACTTTCACTAATTAATAAGTAATTATTTAAAAATGTACTTTAAGTATAGCGTATTTATCTGTCTCTTTCCCTATAATTCTTGTGTATTTAACCTTGACGATGATTAAGGCACATGATTGGTTTACGTGGAATATTTTATTATAACCATAATATGAGTGCACATTACACTTATCTTAACTATAATATGACATAGTTATTTATTTGAACAAATATAAATAGATTACTGCTTAACGAGGCGACTCGATTTGTCAATATAGAAAAGCATAAAACTCTTTGTTTCATCTGCTCGTCCAACATTGTTACTGTTTGTTTGTTTGTTAATATATTAATTTCTGTAAGAATGACTTTACGAGAGAGCCAGTAATAATTACCGAGTTTTATCAATTTTATATTCTTCCCTCTAAACATTTTTTAAATTATATTAAATAACAAAGAGATATGAACAAGAAAATAAACTGTCAAATGTTTAAGATAACAAAAAAAAACAAAAAACGTTAACGGTGATTTATTACCATTGGATTATTTATGAGAAAGAAACAATTTATACAAACCAAACTTTTTCTTTTAAAATATTCCATTTTTATGCATAATATTACAAAATTTCGAAAGAAAAACGAGTTAAAAATGAGAGAAAGATATATATCATAGAGATATAGAGCAATATATTTCTTTTTTTACAGAAAATAGACAAAATGTTTATCGCACTAATCAAGAAGATAGAATAAAGTTTCAAGAAAATATGAAGATCGATCGTGTTGGACATTTATCAGTCTCATCTAACTATCACAGAGAATTAGATTTATGATGGTATGTCCACAGACAATTCGTTACCGTTATTAACAAGTGGCCCATAAATAATGGTCCTCTCAATATTTTGACTATAACTTATTTTTCTTTTCAATCTTGAGATCTGGTTGTTTTGTCAAAAGATACGCCGTCAAAGTTTCTTACAAAAACTGATCATACTTATTTCTATAGAAAGTTAAAGAGAAAAAATAAACGAAGAATATCCAACACATCGAAACGGACCAACTTTCTAAGCAATTCTGATTTACAATGTTTAGAATATTTTGAACAACTCCAACAACAACGAAACAAAAATGCAAATGTTTTTGAGTACTTTAAAGTGCGCTCTTTCTCGTCATGTAGTCCAAAGTTCATTCAAATCAAAGTGGGCATTGAAAAATCTAACATTCCAAAATTTATTAAGAACTGATCAAAATACGCTGTTTTTCACCAGCTGAATTTAAGTGGAAAACTATAAGGTAAGCTTTCGGATAAACTTGCGTCGCTGAATCTGGTACAGAAGTAATTTCTCATCGGAATAAAAAGAAACCCGAGCTCAAAAGATGGGATTTTGGCTTCGTTATGCGACGTTTTCCATGAGCTCCGAAAACTACAGATTCAGATAGCTGAGTTTTCGAAAGTCTCAAAGAGGCGGAAATCGATGCAAGTTTCAAAGATTGATTTAACATTTGTTCACTTAACACTGATTGATAGATAGAGCTTTTCAAGGGCTATAAAATGCGTATGTTCTCTTTCTTCTTATCTCACCCAGCTCAATGACAGTCGTTGGACAAAATGACTCCTCAGCTTAGAAAGTTGGTCGGTTTCTATGTTTTGTTTAGTTTTTTTCCTTAACTCTCTATATAAATAAGTCTAATCAAGTTTTATAGAGAATTTGTTGATGCATCTTTTGCAAAAACAACCAGGTCTCAGGATTGAAAAGAAAAAAAAGTTATAGTCAAAATACTGAGAGGGCCATTATTTATGCGCCACCCGTTAGAACACCGAAATAGGGGATCATATGAAAATATTAAATAATATCAGCAATCCATTAGCAAACGAACATATCACACGGTCATATTTGCCACGGTACTGAAACAGTTTAATATTATTAATAAGTAAAAAATATCTCTCATTCTCTCAGCTAATCATATCGAACAAACTTCAAATGATTTTGAAATTTCATTATATTCGATATAATAGAACAACTACTAATTTTAATAGATGTTGGCTAATTTAATTTCTTCCTAATGGTTATCGACCAAAAAGCATGAATAGTGTGATAAACAAATATGTACAGTATCTGACTAATACAGTATTTGATTTCCAAAAAGAATTATCATACACCAGAACCTGCGAAATGAGAGACGGAATATTAAAATATAATTATCAACAAATTATATTATTCTTTACCTTTAACTTGTGTTAATATTTTTTGTCTTGCATTGGCAAACGCCATGATATCCTCATCTGTTTGCTTATCACCGGTTAATGGCAAATTATAACTGAAACAGATATATACACATATAATCATAAGCATTAGCCAGCAAAACCATATCTACTCACCGTTTTTCCTGAGCACTATTTAAACGATTAGAATAGTCGGATTGAAACTAAAAGTAAAATAATATGTTTGATTGACAGATTAAGTTAAGTGGGATCAAAAGTTTCTAGTTGAGAAACACAGCGAAATGAATCAAAAGTTTCTAGTTGAGATAAAGTTTCTAGTTGAGATAACGATGTATTTGACGTGGCACATGGATCTGCTCTCAAAATACATATTATGTATTTTCTTAAATGCATTCTTAGATATTTTTTGTCAAACATTTTTCAAACTCTCTAAAAACACACTACACATGGTACTACTTTACATTTTCCTTTTTATTTGTATCTATGAATAATTTTATCTGTTGCCTTTTAATTTGTTACCATTCAGTAAAAAACGGAGAATATTTACATATAGGAACGAATACAGATACAACCGTGGGGAGTAAGCCACAAGGAAGAGCTTATTGAGAGAACTTTTCTAAATGATTCATTCCAATTTCAATACAAGATTTTCAGAGGGCTATTTTATGCTGATCACGAATCTAATGTTGCCCGTAGGGCAACTGAGCATAACTCTTCAAATATCAGATGTCTACGAACATGACTTAAGTTAGATTTAAATTAGACATTGAACTTTTACATTAAATTTTTAAGACTTAAGTTAGACATCTAGGTTGATTTCAGCTTAGATTTTTGTGAAACATACGCCATATTTTGTATCAGCAGTGATAAATATTACTTTCAGTTTCAGATAGAGAAAAATTTAAAGGCTCATCGACTAACCGATGTTGATCGTTGTTGCCGACCTTGTGGTGTTGATTGTCGAGAATCAACATCGTACGTCATCGCTGAATTTGAATTACTATGATGAACCACATTTTTCGAAGTTGAGGATGTTTGCGTATTGAGTGACACTTGTTTTGTTGGTTCCATATCAAGCAATTCTCGTTGTTTTTCCTTTTTAAAACATACAGATTACAATTTAATCAAAAACTAACAAAAATAATTATGTTTTTTGTTACATACAGCATTTTCCGATTCTTGTTCCCACCAACCATCAAAATCTTTTAGCATTTTCAAACGATCTTTTTCAATGACATGTTGAATATGTTCAATTTCTTGTTTCATACTTTTTAAACGATTAAAACATTCACGATATCTAAAATAAATAATTTTTATATCAAATGTTTTATTAATTTTAGTCATTTATACCTGACTTGCTCTTTTTCCATTGTTATTCTCAATTCATTTAGGTCACGATTTTTCTCAACGTCATTTGGAGATTCGGCAGTTAAACGTAAATGTAATTGTTCATATTTTCCTTTCAAATGATCTAAAATATTCAAAAATAAGTACTATGATGATAAATCGAATAATTTTATGAAAATAAGATAGTACAAGATTGGAATAAAGAGTGTCCTACTTATTCGATTACGACACTGATTAATATCTTCTCCAAGAGTTTTTGCTTCAGTATAACGTTGTTTCAAAATTCTTTTATGATCTTCTAATTGTTGATTTAATGGATATTCACGACGAAAATGTTCAAATGCTTCTTGACGTCCAACTGACATGTTTTTTACTGAAATAAAAAATATTAAAAATATATTCATAAAACCTATCATTTATACTCACAATTATTCCAAGCACGACCTTTTCCTTTTTCATCAATAAATGAATTTTCATGACCAACAACCATACTAAAGAATGAAAACATATCTAGAAACGTAAATAATATGACAAAAGAAAATCTCTACTCACCTATCATTGACAGAATCACGAACATTTGTTCCATTTGAACTTTTTTTCGATTTTTTAAGCATATTCACCAAAATACGTATATTATAGTTAAGAAAACAGAAATAATCTATGTATATAACAAGAAAAAAGAATTCAAACAAGAAAAGGATATTAATTTCATTGTCTCTCAGTTTAATTATTTCTTTTAAATCTTTAACTTCTTTGCTGTCATAGGGTGAAATATCGTGTGTAATATAAATTGGTTCTGCCATCTTTGTCATTTTCATCTGTTGTTGTTGAGCTTCACCGTATAACTTCTAACATATGACATAGATAACCTGATGATTAATAATTTTAATAACCAAATCTTTTACCTATTAAAAATTGAAATCTAAATTCTTACTTTGAATGCACGAAAACATTGATCAATTCTTCTCATATCAGCGCCTACGTTCAATGTTGCCTCAGGATCATGATCAGCAAGATATATTTTAACTTGTTCAAATAATCTAAACAAAACAATTTAAATCAATTAGATAAGATAAAATATAAAATATAAAATCATATACTTCTCAATTATATCCGATGTTAAAGGTTCGTTGCTTTGCTCTCCGGTATGCATTGTAATCTGATTTTTAAGTTGCATATTTTCAGCACGTAATTGTTGAATTAATACTCGTGGATCTAATTCTTCATTAAGTATAGCATCATTTTTGATTAATGCAACACGTTGTGAAAAACGACATGTTGAAATTGTTTCCTAATAAAAAATAAGATATTTATATGAATATTCGCTCAGATCATTAAATAATAAGAATTCTTTAATACCTCGATATTTCGTTTATCAACCGAACAATTGGCGATCATCGTTGTCATACAATTTCCACCCAGACTATCCCTCAACACTGATGTCATCATTGAATTTCTGTATGGAATATGTTGACGATTTTTTTCAGACAATGCAACAATTACCTATTTAAAGAAAAAAAAAAAAACAATTATTTAATGTGAAAAACTGACTACTTTCTACTCAATTCTACCTGTTCAAGATAATGTAAAGATAAATTGATATATTTAGCTTCTGTTAATAATAATCCATTCGGATTAGACTTTGATACTCGTTCAGAACTAAGAAAATTTTTTAAAAACAAAAAATTATTATTTCATTTAATCAACGGGTATAAATAATAGGTATGCATAACTCACCCAGCAAGATCGACGAGATGTAATTTTGCTTTTCGAATTGAGGCTGAACCAATTTCTTTACTTGTTACATGAATTGTAAATATACAATGAGAACGTGTTGATGCTTGATTCATTGGTGTCTAAATATGTGAAAGTGTTTATATACGATATAGTAATAATCATGCCACTTATCTTACCTCCGCAATCATTCGATTTGTATCACCTAAGAACAATAAATTTAATGCTTCTTCTTCATTTTGTGCTGGATGAATTGATAAATTTTTCAAATGCATATTTTGATCTTCGTCTTCCATTAAGAGAACTTTTCTGATCAAAATTAAATATAATAAAGTTTTATTTCTAAAAATGTTAAAGGAGAACTCACGGAAGATCTTCTAGTCTTGATGCTTCATGTTTTGGGTCTAATAAATCGTAACCATTTTCGTTATAAATTTCCAAATAAGAAACATGAACAGTGTGTGATTGATCAGTTTGCTTCAAACGAGAAAAAAAAGAGTGAATTAATACTAAATTTTCTGGTGTATCTATACATACTTTTCCAAATTCTTGAAAGATATATGAAAGACATCGTGGTATAATACCCCTATCGGCGAATCGTTCAGGTCCACCTGTAACCGTAAATGTTTTCCCGCTTCCGGTCTAAACATATTCCCAAAATTTTTTAAAAATTCTTTTGATTAAGAAATATCGTACCTGTCCATAAGCGAAAATAGTTCCATTATAACCAGAAATAACACTGAAAAAGAAAGAGGCAGATAAGATTGGTCCAAAATATATTACACATTTTCTTTACTTATCAATAACTGGACGAGCAACAACGGCAAAAACATCCTCTTGTTTTGCGTCTTGATCAAAAACTTTACGGTATCTATATATATTTTGAAATTCAGATATTACTTCTATGAAAGTGACTGAAAATATGCTACAAAAAAAGGTTTATACCGAAATCTAAAATCTTCACGTTTATTATTAATATAACCATCTTGGGCTTCTTTTGGTATTACAAATGATAAATTGTCACCATTTTCGACATGATCCAATTCATATATCTAAAGAAATAGGAAGTAATGATAGCGATTCAAATTATATCATTTTTCATCAAAAGACTTTCTATTTAAGCTTTGATATTCTACGTCTGTTGGCGCACCAATCAAAGCAAAGCATTTGTGACAAAGATGTTGCTAAAAACCTCATGATTCCTTACCGCTATTTTGGCCTTTGTCGGCTTAATACGACAGTAAATTTGGATTGTTTGTTTCACCATGATCTCATAAGAAGATAGTATTTAAGTGCAGACGAAAAAAAAATGGATATTTCGATAAGTGCAGATATCATTGGATAAACTATAATTTATGTTGCTAACCATCGTCCTCATTGTAGAATGGAAATAACGCTGATACTGTCAATGTATATAGATAGTGTCGACATCATCTTCAGTCTAGTTGGCCGTGACACCTTTAAAGTAAGTAGAGGCCAATAGTATAGTATACTTCCCCCACCTGTGATGACAATCTGATACAGGTTTTTCCTCTTTAGCATACATAATTCAACTGAAAGTGAAGAAATTAAGAGAAGGAGAATCTACTTTAGAAACAAAGTCGCAAAACAGAACAGTATATTTTCACTGGATATCACAACGATCAACCATATTTTTGCTTTGACAACTGATAGTAGCGTGTATAATGACTAATTTATTCGTCACACAGCAAATGATGACAATATCCTTTTCTTTTTTGATTTGCACGATCAAACTTATCTAGAAGCTTGTCGGATTTCATCTTCACTTTTTCTAGTACGGGTTAATTCATCGCTTTCAGTCATGTTTAAAGTTTTCATTTTCTCTACAAAATCTGATGAGTATCGCGTGATCAGAACACTGTTCTCTGATTCGTCACTAAGTCTTGGGTACTGTTTCCTTTAGCAGTTGTACAAAACAGACGGTTTCGGTCTTTTCACAACTTATGACTCATTCCGATACAAAACGCATCGGTTCACAGCAAACAAAAGTTTTTGCGATATTCCTCAATGTGATTGTTAATGTATAATTGATTGGAGATGCCAAATAAAAGGTGAACATTCTTTCACCCTTACTTGTCGTCGTGCAAAAGAACTGAATCTAATTTGGATCTTTTCTCTGTTCCCCCTCCTATTTATATTGATGATACTCTTTTCACAACAAATTGTTAATTCATACTTATTTATTCTGTTAGGTTCGAGCTGTTCTTTTCGTTTGATACAAAATTGATATCAAAAGTCGGATGTATAAGTTGAAAAAAAAAACAATTATTTTACTTACTATACAGTCATCTGTATAACTTTTCTTTCGGGGGTTGTGGGTTACGGTAATGAATTAAAAAAAAGCATACGTTGTGCATCTCACTCGAGATACTTAGTTACTTTTCGGTAGTATAATGTAATTATTTTCTGTAAATATTCTAGATGTTTTTAGTTTTATATAATTTTAGTTTAGGAAATCATGATGAACAATAATCACCAACAAATGTCGCTGCAACAGCGATATCAACAATTTGAACAACAGCAATTATTGAATTCATCTTCCGAAGCTGATGTTATCGGAGGTAAGATTTGCTCGTTTTTTTGCTAGATATAAACCCTATTTTTACTCAATATTTTCTTCTTCAGATATTGAGAATTACTTAACATGTGATTTGAAACTTTCCGATGTGACAATATCAGACTTTTTGAATGATGCCGATTTTGTTGTTGATACAGATGATTTAAAATGTTTCGATGCGAATGAAACAGCGTCTACTCTGTTTGATACAAATCTCAACTATAATCAAGATCGACAGCAGCGAAGAGAGAACATTTCGTCTCTACAACAACCAGAAGAATATCTCGTTCAAACAGTGTACACACAACAAAATAATAATTTCTTTAGTAATAGCACACCGATCAGAACATCTCCCGTCATTCTGTCGACTACAACGGATGATGATAACAATAAATTTCAAATAATTCCTCAGACTTTAGACGAGTTAAATGTACAACAGCAAAATGGTGATCAATATTTGTCATCTTTAAGGTTTTATATTGAGCAACAACAGCAGCAGCAAAATTTTATTGCTGCCAATAGTGTGAATATTAATAATATTTCATCACAAGGTCTGATGACGAATTTTAATCAATTGAATAGAAATCAGCATATATCACCCTTACAATATCAGGTAAGTGTAGACAGTATGTGTAGACAAACCATCTTTAACAAAATTTCATTAATTTTAATCTTTCATTTTAGATTGTGCAGACGTCTCCTCAACATGAGCATCGAAATAATAATAATAATAATAATAATAATCAGTCACCGTTGAATGATGTTCAAAAGTCTGATTCATTTACCACATCAAATTCTCAATTAGATAATCATCCCGTAAAATTGTCATCGACCGAACAGAACGAAAATATGGGAAGAAATTTACTGCAGACTAAAAAGTCATCTAAACGATCAGCAGCGAACACAAATAATAGACAACAACAAACTACAAATGATCGTCAGTCAGTTCCACCAGTAACAGCAACAACCACTCATTATCAAAAATTGATAAAAAAACCAGAACCAATACCTGTTACATTTGATCAATTTCAAGCAGTACGTGTTTCAATTTACATATGAATTTCAGAAATTATATTTATAGTTTTCTTTTGATAGCTATTACGTGTTACACCACAAATGTCAAATTCAAATGAAAAATCATTTTCAAATCTTTTAGAAAACAGTACAATTATTGCAAATAATATACCATTAAAAATAATCAATGATAATAATGGAGATGAAAATAATGGAACAATTTTGAATTCTATGGGTCAGGGTGGTGGACGAGTAAGACGAAAATCATCGCATAATGCTATTGAAAAACGTTATCGTTCAAGTATAAATGAAAAAATTATTGAATTAAAAGAAATTGTAGCTGCTAACGATGAAAAGGTAAGTTCATAATTTATATTGATCAAAGATAGTTGCATTATTTTGTTCATTTGAAACTAATCAAATATGAGAAGTGACATTTGGTTTGCTGAACTTATTAAACGTTATAATTGACATCACTATAACTTCTCTTTTAATTAATCAACTAACAATTTAAACATTAAAATTACTTCTCGATATTTGTAGGAAAAGTGAATGTTGAATTGCTCATTCGTGTGATGTATATACATAGCAACCGTAATCGTTCATAACAGATTTAAAAATTTCGATTTTTGACTTCTAATATAGAAAATATCCGCAAATTCCAACAAATGAGAAATTTTTTTTACCGTTTTTGTTTAATTACACTATCAGTACAGGGTGACGCAGTTCATTTTCTTTCCAAACCGAAATTGAAAAATAGCAAATAGGCTATAAAGTTTTCACGATTTTTTAAATTCGGACTTTTATTTCCTAACATTCTTCCTTTTTTGTGCACACATAATGTACAATTAAATATTCTTCATTATTCCACCAATATTCTTCTTTCACATAGACGTACTATCCATTCAAAAAAAGAATGGACTCGATTGTTTTTTGAATAACTCGGCAACGTTGATAGTTGTCGAGTTGGGTTTTTCACTGTGAGAAAGAGGAGACTTGAGAATATCTAACCATGTAAGAAAAGAAAGCCTTGAAAAGTTTTCGGAGGGTTCTTCAGGGGTATCTAGAAGACCACTCTATGGCGGAAGGCATTTTCCAAGTTTGATTAAGCCATTCTGTAGTCCAATATGTTCTCTAGAACTCCTGAAATTTTCCAGTTTTTCCGACGTTCCCTCTATGCACAAGGGAATATTTCCAGTGATTGTTTCCGGCCCAATTTTCACATGATGATTGCCAACCACGTTAATCGTCGTGGTGATATTAGTTTTCATTCCCGATCAAAGCCTTGGTTCTAAAGTACGTTTTTAGAAGAGCTCAGTTTTTACCCGTTGGGCCTGAAAACCATATTTTCTGCTTGTGTTGCAATGAAAACTAACATCACCATGACGATCAACGTGGTTGACAATCATCCCTCATGTGAAAATCGAGCCAGAAACTTCAAAGAGTTGGTGTAGC